TCTTCATTTCTGACTGGTTCTCTTTATGTTTATGCTTTCTTTTTTATGTTTCCATAAAATTCCAGTCATGACATGGCTTCTTCTGTAGGTCCTTACTTATAGGACTTCTGTTCATCTAACTTTCAGGCAGTTCTCACTAATGGTTTTCTGTAGTTTAGTTGTAATTTTGATGTGGTTGTGGGAGGAAATGAGCACAGTGTTTACCTACTCTGTCATCTTAACCTGAGCCTGTACATGATTTATTATAAGGAGTTTGCTCATACTGTTGTGGAGGCTGAAAAATCCCAACGTCTGCAGTCAGTGAGCTGGAGACCTAAAACTAGTCATAGTTTCAGTCTGTGTCCAAAGGTCAGAAAGGACCAATGTCCTAGCTCCACAGTCAGGAGGAGGAATTGTCTTCCCTCTTACTCATCCTTTTTGTTCTATTCAGATCTTCAATTGACTGAATGAGGCCCACCTTTGTGAGGGAGGGCGGACCAGTGTGATTCAAGCATTCATTTCATCTAAAACACAGAGAATTAATTATCACAGAAGTTATATATTTAAAATCCTCACCCAAGGACATTTTTTCATTGCTTTTAGAAAGAGAGGAAGGGAGAGAGGAAAGAGGAGAAAGGAAATCATCAGTGTGAGAGAGGAGCACCAATTGGTTGCCTCCTATAGGTGCCAGACCCACAATCACATGCATCTGGACCCAGGATCAAACCTACAAGCCAGGTATCTGCCCTGACCAGGAATCAAACCTGCAAACTTTTAGTTCTGGGGTGATGCTCCAACCAAATGAACCACACTGGCCAGGGCAACTCTCACAGCAGTTTTAATGCCAGTTGCTGATAGATGCTGCTTTGGCCACAGGTCATGTACATTTACCAATGTCATCCTTTTCTCCCAGTGTTCCCAACACCCTGGTGTGTCCAGAGGCCTGGACCAGACAGCTTCTGTATAACAGCTAGACTCACAGAACATCAGAGGTGTTACAGTGAGGAAGGTGAGGCCTACAGACACACAGGTACTTGTCTAAGGCCACACATCTTTTACATATGTGGAGGAGTCAGGACTAGACCCAGGACTCGAATATCATACTGCCCTGGTATTTGCACTTAAGGAGAGCAGGGGACCGAGGAGAAAATCGTAGTCCTCATGAATTTCAGAAAAGCTCACCATTGTAGTAATCCTTTTAACTTGCTCTATCCATGCCTTCTCTCTCACCTGTTCATTCCTGACTGTACATTGTATTCTCTGTTAATTTCCTGGCTCCATAAATACTGTCTGACATTTTGACATATCTCTTCCTACAAGTGTAGCACTGGTGTTGTGTCAAGCTATGTGGAACAAAATTAATTAGTTAATGTTTGTGAAAGCTTTCTGGAAATGAGAAGCATGGGCCTTATACCACTGCAAGAAATATTTCTTCATGCCCCTTTATTAAGCCCAAAGTCTGTGAAACCTCTGGTCTCTGGGCAGAGTAGGGGACTGACAGCCCCTGGCCAGTCCTGGGGGAGACTAGAGTCACCCAGAACCCTCTTTGAGTTTTTCAATTTGCTCTATTATGGTTCTTGCTTTTGGGTTGTTTCCCATCTTATTTATCCTTTTGTTTTCATGAACTCTATAACCAGCCTACCCCATGATGTCAATGTTTAGTAACTTTGGAGATCCATCTTTTGTTCATACTGTGACTATCTAATTTTGCTTGTTAGGTCCTTACATGTAAACCGACAGAATATATTACAGACTGACCAGACTGAATTTGGGACCAGGAGTGCAGTTAAATAGAATCTCACTATTCTTAATGTCCACTTGTACTAAGAAATCTAGATAACTAGAGGTTGAGTATTTTTGGTTCCATTTACTTGGGTAACAAGCACATAAAGGTTTAGATTATGTGTATTAGGACTTTTGCAGTTTTTCTTGTTGTGTTTCTCTTGAACTCTTTGAAGGTGTTGTTTCGCATTTCTGCAGGTATAAGTCTTACCCCAGAGTATTACATAAAGTACACGTTACCTCTTCCTTCCTCCTTCCCCCAGGGCTCCATCCTCCCTTAGTTCTTTCAGTTTGAAGCAGATACTTCCCCACAGCTTATAAAGCCCAGGCCTATTAAGAACAGAAAGCACAGACCCCATATACACTTACCTGCCCCCCAACACATTTACCTGTCCTGGTGGGAGGAGTGATACTAGGTGTTGCCAGGTGGGACTATATATATGGAAAAGGCAGGTTGGAGCAGACTAAAGCATTTTGGAACTTTGGAGCTGGCAAACCTGGGGACACTGCTTCTTAGCTGAGGGCCTGGCCTGGCACTTGGTATAGGTTTTGAGTAAAGGTCAGCTTCCAGCAGTGTCAAAAAGACTCTGAGGGCTTGTGGAGAGCTAGAGAGCAATAGTGACTATCCCAACAATGAGACAGGCTAAGAAGTGAGAGGTCAAGATGAGGACCATGCATCAGGACTGCAGCCTGGTGTTCTAACCCCATGCGCATACGCCTCCCAGCTGGCGTTCTGGTGAACCCAAGGTTGTGGCCCTCTGCAACCCTGCTGAAGACCAAGGCCTGTGCCTTCACATGGACAAGGTCCCTGCCCACCCCCCCCCCCCACCCCCTGGCCATCTGCCTCCTCTTGAAGGGGAGGCTGGAGTGAGCCACCTCTGTGGTGGTACCCTAGCTATGCTCCTGGCCTCAGGTGCTGATGGCAGCAGTCCTCAGAACCAGGGAGGCTGATCCTATTTTGAATCATTCAAAGAATCTTTGCAGGGATGGAACTAGAAATCTGATTTAAAACCTCTTAATGCTGCCTTTGAAAGAGCACAGCTACTTTCAAAGGAGGGCAGTTCTATTTGAAAGAGGTATTTGAACCACAGTCTTTCAAGGCCTGAGCCAGTCAAAAATAGATGGTGGCCAAGCTTCCTTAGCCTGTTCCAGCCTCAGGACATTCTTTAAGGAAAAAAAAAACCTCCCAAGCTGAAAACTGGGGGCTCATCATCCACTTCTGGGACAGTAGCCATGCCCCTCCTCCTCTGAGCTCTGCCTCCCTTCCTTCCCCCATGCTGCTGGTTCTAGTCCCTGTCCAAATGCCCTTCAGATTATTAGCCTCTGAGGAATGTTGACCCTGACTTTCTACCAAACCTAATGCTGAGCCATGGGAATTGCTGTGCTCCACAGGAAGAGGGTGATGAGAGGAAGGTCTGTGACTGGTTAGGCAACAGGTATTGGAAGGAAGAAGCAACCCAAATGACTTCCTAAGGTCATCCATAATATATAAACCTTGGAAGGGCAGAAGCAGCAGGGCAGATGGTAGGGACAGAGGCAGTATGTGGCACTTCCAACCCTTGCGGTCATGGGCTAAGCCTGGATGGAGTGCCATGTATAGTGAGAGCTTCATGTATAGGACCTTAAGTTTCACAACAATGCTATGAATAGTACAATGATAGCCTCAATTTACAGATGAGGGGACTGAGGCTCACTTACAATTCAGTGACTCTCCTCTGGGCTTGGGCACACTGTTAAGTGAGAACACTGATTCTTGAATCCAGGTGGCCAGGTACCCAAGCCCATTCTCTTCAGTGTTGCAGGCCACAGAGATGGAAACATTTGAGGTCACATGGAGTGTGTTGCAAGAGTCTGTGGAAGAGCTAGGCCCTAGACAACATGAATGAGAGATTGGGCTATGTTCCACACAGGCAGCTGTGACCTTGTTAAGGAAGAGTATATGGCCTTCCGAGGTGGAGACCTGAATTCCCTTTGTACCTGATCAGTAAGTGATCCAGGCTCCAGGTGCCTCTTCTTGCAAAATGTGGATAATAACACCTTTCTAGGCACAATTGTAAAATGATTTAATGAGATAATATACATGAAAGATTCACCCAGTGTCTGGCATGTAATTTTCTCTTGATGCACGTAGCTTTGTCTCTCCCTGCAGAAGGGCAGTCCCGAGGGAAGGGATCCCTAGGTGCAGAGCCAGGAAGGATGATTAGCATTTAGGCAGCAATCTACACTGTGCAAAGGGTGCTTACAGTACTGCCCCATCAGGGGTTCATGACCACCTCCTGAAATAGACCATCTAGACCATGAGGCTGCTGCTACTTCACAGATGAGAGGACAGAGACATGTGGGTAAAAGATCTGCCTGAGTCCACCCAGGTAGAGTCTTATCTTGAATCCCACCTGGTTCATGAACTCAAGTGCCAGTTCCACAGCTTCCCCTGTGGCTCTGTTCAAACCTCTCAGTCTCTGTGTCACAATTTCTCCTACATAAAATAGGGATAATAGAGTCATTACCTTCCTAAGGTGGGAATTACAATGATTTAATGTGAATAAATCTCATTGATTACCCTTATGAAAAGGTTGAATCACTGCCCTTTGTAGGACCCCCTACTTACTAAAGTAAGTCACAGGCATCCCTGTGAGCAGTGGGGCCAACCCTGCTCCTCTGGCCTGCTGCATTTGCCTCTTCTCTGCCCGCCTCACCACCTGCCACTCAACTACCCAAGTGTCCTGCTCCTGGCCCTTTACACAAAGCCATGAACTATAGCAGTGGTGGCGGCAGTGGATGGAACGAGGGTGGTCATGCTTTTGTAGAGGCCACAGGGCCCCTAACCACAAATGATCTAATCTTTCCTAACTAGTAGATGCACAGAAGGCCCAGGGCCATCGCCTCAGTGACTTCAGTGTGTGATGTGACATTTTGTGTCTTGACTTAGGGAAACCCGGGAGGGGCCAGGCCAGACGAGGCCATCAGGCAGCACGCTCTTGCTGGAGCAATTATTCTGTATTTACAGTTTTCCAGGAGGGTGGCAGCAGAAGCAATAGGGGACTGAGTCAACAGTTGGAAAAAGGCCCAAATTTTTCTTAGTAAGCCAGTGTGGAGAAAAGTGGTTTAATTTACAAAATTGTTGGACTCATAACAGAGCATGGCTATTTCCTGCCATTCACTGTCTGTTCTTTGCAGTGTTGGTGTGGGAGATGACTTCATAGCCTGTAGTGAGTTACTTTAGGCCAGTCTCTTCGTCCTCTATGGCCTCAGGTTCCTCGAATTTGGATGTCATCCTTTCACAGGGGCCATGCTAATCTTTTCTGCCTCGTTCCAATTTTAGTATACATACTGCCGAGGCGAGCACATGCGCTTCTGCAGATTTGGAAAAAGAATAATGATGTTAGGTGTTTTAAAAATCAGTAAATTAACAACTGGAAAATATTCTGTAAACTGTAGGATACGGGTCACATGTAAGTCTTGTATGTGCATATCAATGCATATATATTTAACGTGACCCTTCAGAGGAAAGCCACTGCCTGCGTACAGGGAAGCCCAAAGAGCACAAGAGGTGGCACTAGTTCCTCCAGGTAGTACACAAACCTTGGGTTTTCCATTTTTTAAACTTCTGTTGTGTTCACAGCCTTTACCTTTGGGGAACTTCCTCATCTCATCTCCATCGGCCCTAAGCACAGAGAACCAGTATAATCCTGATTTACTGTACAAGCTGGCATGGCCACCGACATTTCCTTTGCAGCTGCCAGGCAGGCATCACCGCTGCAGTGTGTGTGCACATGTGTGCACGTGTGTGTGTGTGCCACGCACACTGGTCTGTGTGTTTATGGCAATTCTATTGAGGTATGATTCACACAGCATAAAATGTACCCTTTTAAAGTGTGTATTTCATTTTTTTTTTGTTTATTTGCAGCCTATTGTACAACGATCACGAATATTAAAGAATGATTGCATCACCTTAAAAAGCCCCTGATACTCATTAGCAGTCACACCCTATCCTTCTCCCAGATCCCTGAAACTTTTCATCTAATCTCTATCTCTACAGATTTGTGCATCCAAAATATTTCATATGTATGGAGTTGTATAGTATGTGGCCTTTGTGTCTGGATTCTCCACATAGGATAATGTAGTCAATGTTCATCCATGTTTTAGCATCTATCAGGACCTCATTCCTTTGTATGGCTTCATAATATTCCACTTACGAATACACTGTACTTTGTTTATTTGCTTATCAATCGAGGGACATTTGTGTCACCTCCACATTTTGCTATTATGAATAATGCTGCTAAGGACACTTGCATGCAGATTCTTGGGTGGACATGTGCTGTTGTTTCTCTTGGGCATACACACAGAAGAGGAATTGCTGGGTCATTTGGGAACTGTATGTTTATCTTTTTGAAAAACTGGAGACTTATTTTCCACAGTGGCTACACCAGTTTACATTGCCATATACAATACATGAGGGTTCCAGTTTTTTCACCTCCTCATCAGCTCTTGCTATTACCTGACTTTTTTATTATAACTATCCTAGTTGGGTGTTAAGTTTGAACTGGATTTTACTAATGACCAACAATGTTACATATATTTTAATGGGCTTATTAGCCACTTTTATATCTTCTTCGGAGAAATATCTTCAATTTTTTCCCCATTTTAAAATTTGAGTTATTTGTCTTTTTATGTTCACTACATATTCTGTGTACTTATATATGTCCCATATCACATGTAATTGCAAATATCTCCCATTTGTGGCTTTTCTGTTAACTTTCTTAATGGGATCACTTGAAGTACAACAATGAAAAATATTGGTTAACTTTGATTTATATATTTTTTTTCGCTTGTGCTTTTGGTGTCATGTTTAAGAAACCATTAGGTAGTCCAAGGTCACTATGTTTTCTTTTAAGAGTTTTATAATTTCAGCTCTTACATTTAGGACTTTGATCCACTTTGAATTAATTTTTGTATATGACGTGAGGTAAGATTCAATTCATTCCCTAGCATGTGGATATTCAGTTACCCCAGCAACTTTTGATAAAAACAATATTTTCCCCCCAGTGAACTGTGTTGGTATTCCTATAAAAATGCAGGTTTATTTCTGGATTCTCAGTTCTATCCCATTGAGCTACATGTCTATCCTTATGCCAGTACTATACAGCCCCTATTACTATGGCTTTTGTAGTAAGTTTCATGAACAAAAAATGCGAGCCCTCCAACTTTGTTGTTTCTTTTCAAAATTGTTTTGGCTACTTTGGGTCCCTTGAATTTCCATACAAATTTAGGGGCAGTGTGTTAATTTTGCAAAAAAGGTAGCAGAGATTTTGATGGGATTACAATTAATTGTAAAACAATTTGGAAAGTAATGTCATTTTATCAACTGATAAGAGTTTTTGTCCATAAAAATGGAATGTGTTCCCATTTATTTAGGTCTTTCTAAAATGTTTTGAAGTTTATAGTTTACAAATATTGCATTTGTTTTGTTAAATTTATTCCTAAGTATTTTATTTTTCCTAATGTTATTGTAAATGGAAGTTTTCTTAATCTCACTGTTGGACTATTTATTTCTAGTGCATAAAAATATCATGTTTTTGTGTATTGATCTCATATCCTGCAACTTTGTTGAACTTGTGTATTAGTTGTAATAGTTTTTCAGTAGATTAATTAGAACATTTTTTTTTGTATACAAGATTATGTTTTCAGTGATGCAGGTAGTTACACTTTTTTTCTTTCTAATCTGAATGTGTGTGTGTTTATTTCTTTTTCTTGCCTAATTACCCTGGCTGGAAACTCCAGGACAGTTTTGAGAATAAGTAATAGAGAGGCATCCTTGTCCTGTTTCTAATCTTAGGGGAGAAACACTATTTTTAACCATTAAGTATGATATTAGCTGTGGGTTTTTTATATATTAGTTTATCAGGTTCAGAAATTACCTTCTATCCATGTTTTGTTGTGTGTTGTCATTATTAAAAATTGCTAAATTTGCCCTGGCTGGTGTAGCTCAGTGGATTGAGTGCAGCCTTCGAACCAAAGGGTTGCTGGTTCGATTCCCAGTCAGGGCACATGCCTAGGTTTTGGGCCAGGTCTCCAGTAGGGGGCACACAAGAGGCAACCACACATTGATGTTTCTCTTCCTCTTTCTCCTTCCCTTCCCCTCTGTCTAAAAATAAAGAAATAAAATCTTTAAAAAAAGTTGCTAAATTTTCCAAATGTTCTTTTCTGCATTTATTTTAATATATTGTTTTTAAACTTTATTTTAATATATTAAACCAACCTTGCATTCCTGGGATAAATCTCACTTAATCTTGGTGTATAATTCTTTTTATATGTTACTGGATTTAGTTTGCTAGAACTTTGTTGAGGATTTTTACATCTCTATAAGGGTACTAGTTTGTAGTCTTAATATCTTGAGACGTCTTTGTCTGGTTTTGGTATTGTGATTATAAAAACCTGATAGAATGAATTGGGAAAAGTCTCTTCTCTTCTCTTTTTTGAAAGTGTTCATGCAGGACTGATGCTAATTGTGCTAAGCATTTGGTAGAATTGACCAGTAAATCCTTTGTTTTCAGGAAGCATTTGATTATTAATTCATTCCCTTTACATGTTATAGGTCTATTCAGATGATCAGATTATGTTTTTCTTCTTGAGTCATTATTGGTAGTTTGAGCACTTCTAGGAATTCATCCATGTCATGTAGGTTATCTTATTGCAGATGTTCAATTATTTATAAAATCCTACTTACGAGGGGCTTCCCCTGCTAGGTAAGAGTTCTAGGAACACTACTGTATCAGTGTACCAGCTGGTGTTGTTGTGAGAGGCTTCAGTGAAATTTTCTGAAGACTTTTTCAACGTGTTTGCCCATTTCATGATGGGTGACTTACAAGCACACCTGCCCACACTGTACTAGGTGTTCAGCAGTTTTTGACCAAAAACATTATGACCCCCGTGCCCACCCTCCCTAGTCACCTGATCTCACCCTGAGCAACATTTTTGTTTGTTTGTTTCCCTGAATGAAAAAAAAAAGTCCTCAAAGGGAAACATTTTGCTTATGTGGAAGAGGTGAAACAAGCAATGGCAGAAGCACTACAGGCATCAAAATTTACAAGTTCAAAAACTGTTTTGAACAATGGAAAAAATGTCTTGATAGGTGCATTGCATAAAATGAAGAATACTTTGAAGTAACTGAAGTTTAAACATGTAAGAATAAATACACAATTTTTTATAAATAATTCTGGGGCTTTTGGGTCTCCCCTCATATAATCCCTTTTATTTTTGTAAATTTGATAATGATATCCCTTCTTTCATTCCTAATTTTAATAATTTGAACTTATCTCCATTTTATTTGTCATTCTTGCTCAAAGTGGTCAATTCTGTTGATTCTTTTCAAAAAATTAACTTTTTCTTCTGTTGTTTTTTAATTTTTTAATTTCATTTATTTCTATTTTGGTCTTCATTATTTCCTCCCTTTTCCTTGCTTTGCTCTTTTTTTCCCACATTCATTTGCTCTTTTTTTCCTGTTTTTTTTTATGGTATAATATTTGGTAATTAATTTGAGGGCTCTCTTCAGATATACACATTTGCAGCCATAATTCTTTCTCTAAGCCCTGCTTTTGCCATATTCCTTAAGTTTGGGGATGTTGTGGCTTCATTTCCATTCACCTTAAAGTATTTTCCAATTTCTCTGTTACTTATTCTTTGAGTCATTGGTTATTTAAGATTGTATTGTTTAATTTCAACATATTTATAGATTTCCCAAATTTTCTTTGGATATTTATTTCTAATTTCATTCCATTGTGATCTGAGAAACTACTTTGCATAATGTCAATTCTATTTAACATTTATTGGGACTTGCTTAATGACCTAACATATTGTCTATCCTGCAGAATGCTCCTTGTGTACTGAACAAAAATATATGTTCTGCTGTGGTTGGGTGGAATGATTTATATATGTCTATTGTCCTTGTTGGTTTATAGTGTTGCTCAAATCTTGTATGTCTTCACTGATTTTTTGCCTAGTTGTTTTATAAACTATTTAAAATGGAGTTACCAAAGCCTCAACTTTCATTGTTGAATTGCTTGTTTCTCCCTTCAATTCTGTCCATTGCTGTTTCATGCATTTTTAGATTCTTAGTTAGGTGCACCACTGTATTGTTTTATGTTGCAATTTAAAGCTTCCCTTCTTGGGCCTGATAAGTTTGTCTCTTATGCTATACTTTTTTTTTTTAACCTATTTTTTTTTGGACTTAGTGTAGTCAGGTTGTACTTGAGTATCCATCCAAAGTTTTTGTGAATTGTTTTATTCTAGAATTTGCTTGTAATTGATTCAGTCTTTCCATTAAGTGGCACTTACAGATTATACTGG